TCTTCTTCTGCTAAATAAGGGCTTTTAAGATATTTGTAAAAATGCTTGCAAAGCGTCATGAAAAAAGGCCTTAATTTCCATTTAATTCACACTAATCTAGAAGAATTCTTTCCCGAACATTTGCTTGTGGTAATAAAAAGATTTTTATGTTTAATGTTTAAACGTTGTCAGCTTGGAGCTGTAGAAATATAGCTGGACGCAGGAAAAAACCTTTAAACAGGACAGAGTGGTATCATTTCATACTCTCAGCTGCACAGCATGGGTCTGGTCCAAATAGTTAAAATTTCATATCTCAAAATTGACTGCACAGTATTGTCTCCTTTCTAACATTTCAGGTACTTCACTTAGTTTTACACAAAGCCTATTGGTATTTAAATGGTGTCAAACTTTTCTATCTAAGAATTTGGATCTAATCTGGAGAAAATTAATAATTGGAAAAAGTTTGATTAGATTTAGCATCAATTTTGTAATCTGAACCAAATAAAGAGAAGAATTGTTAGTAGGGCTGTTATATGTTAGATCTGGTGTGGAACTAATTTTTTATCATTAAAAAGGGTTGTGACAGATATAATTACCATATTTTCCAGATTATATGTCACACCTTTTCTCATAGTTTGGCCAATCCTGAGACTTATAGTCCAAAGCGACTTGTATACATTTTTTTCCCTATTCATGACATGCAATTACCCCAGAAAACTTTAAAAAATAAACAGGTTTTGTTGAAGGAAAATCATTTTCCCTGCAGGCTCATAAGTCTGATTGCAGCGAGAGCTAAAAACAACCTGTTGTGGACATCAGTGAAGTCAGAATAATGCTTGCAGCAAATTATTTAAATATCTGACATGAACTCCATCATAAAATGCTATAACATTTATTTCCCATTAATCCTTCTGTTGTCTTTTTTTTTTTTTTTTTGCAAACAATTTTAGATTAGTAGATTGAATATATGCATAAAAAACATAAGGCTTTTTTTATGTTTTTGAATGCAGACAATGAAACGGCACAAAAACGACTGACTCTTGCTTGACACACTCATATTGTGGATTGAAGGATGAATCGTTAAAGATGAAATAAAAACAAGTGAAACTATGTATGATAATTGTGCCACAAAGCATTTGAATCATGGTGCATTCCATTTGTAATCCATCCATCCATCCATCCATTTTCTTTACCCGCTTATTCCATTTTGGGTCACGGGGGTCGCCGGTGCCCATGTCCAGCAATCACTGTGCGAGGGGCGGGGTACACCCTGGACGGGTTGCAAGTCCATCACAGGGCCACATAGAGACAAACGAGACAAACAACCATTCACTCTCTCACTCACACCTAGGAACAATTTAGAGTTACCAATTAGCCTAACATGCATGTTTTTGGTCTGTGGGAGGAAACCGGAGCACCCGGAGAAAACCCACGCATGCACGGAGAGAACATGCAAACTCCACCCAGAAAGGTCCCTGGACTGGGGTTTGAACCAAGGACCTGCTCGCTGAGAGGCAGCAGCTCTACCAATTGCGCCACCGTGCTGCCTCCATTTGTAATCAAAAGTTGTAATTTACGATGTTCAAGTAAAAAATAAAATAAAATAAAAAAAACTCAAGGAGAACCCCAAGCTCAAAAATTTGACATGAAAATTATGTTTCCTGATTGACTCTGATCTCACACTCCAATATGATGCAGAAAAAGTTGTGATAACTGCAGGAATAAACTATTTGTTTGGATTTTTGAAAATATTTATATAAAAAAAATTATTACAATGCTTCAGTTTGTAACAACGGTGCTGCAAGGTTTGAATGCATGCACCGCTTGTACTGCTCATTTTTGAAGTAGCCACAAGAACTCAATGAAAATGGATGCGAGCTCAGATTCAAATTCTGACTTTCAAGGTAAGTGGAACGCTGCGTTAAACCAAATGTTTTGAGGTTTGATCTCAGGGAAATAGATGTGATTGTGTGCCCAATGTGCCTCGATGACAAGTGAAAAGATGGAAAGAAAAGACTAAATGCACACAATTTCCCCACCAAGAAAATAAAAAATAAACAGGATGTGCACACTGGCCAGGACAGCTGACTAAGCTATAGCTATTAGCAAGAAGATGTAGCACCGACATCAAGGCAGCACAATATAAGGCAGAAGCTGAACAGAAAAATGCACAAACTTAACAAGACACTTTATAAGTAAAAGTTTAAACTGAGTCAGAGGTGTGTGTGTTCGGGGGGGAGAGTTCAAATGAAACTATAAATTTTGCTTTAATGGTTACAGTAATCTGTCAAGTTAGGAAAATATCTCCTGGATTTATGTTAATGTCAGTCTAAGAACATAAGTGGACAACTTGTGAACTTCTGGAGTCACCACAAGTCAAGACGACTCACAAAAATTGGCAACAATCAAGTACATTTTACAGATATTGAGCTAGGATTTGGTCATTCTGAACACTCTGAGCAAGTTTTTTTTTTTTTTATCTAAACTTTGACATGCAAGGCAGCAGGATGTATGCATTCCTTTGATAAATGTTTCATTTGATATGAGCTTAGCTTTGACCAGTCCCATCAAAATAAGAAATGATGAATAAAGCAGTCAGTACCCTGGTCCACTCACCACCAGGGGGAGCCAAACACTCATTTTAACCTGAACATCAGAAAAACATTTTGATCAGAAGGGCCAGTCTTTTGATTTTACAGGTTTCTTAAGAGTTTTATGGTCACCTTTTATTTTCCAACCCTGAAAAACTTTTAACCTTGTATGAAACTGCAAACTCGTGCAAACGTTGCAAACAAAGTCCTTGTTATTGTCAATATCCCCCTCCTCTGATGTAAATATGCCTTCATCAATTAAATATTTAGGAGTAAGAGAACAGAAACTAAGTCAGCTGCTAACATCAAAGTGTCTAATATACACTGGAGCAAGTTGTTTACATGGGATGGTGGCAAGGCCCTGAGGGAGGTCTGTCCTGGTTCTAACTCCGCTTAGCGAGAGCAAACAACACGGCTGGCATTTAGAACATGCTGAGAGGAAACCAACCACGGGAGACACTAAAAAGTTTAGATCTATACTGGTGGTTAACAAGAATCCCAGTGTGGCGGCTGTTTATTGCATGAGGTTACTCGGCTCCAACGCTTGACGGCAGAATTGGTTCGGTTCTTTGATAAAGGTGTTTTTTACAAGAGGAATTTTTTTGGTTTGTGATCCCGTCATGTTTTAAACATGTGCATACTGGTGCTTTTTAATAATCTTAATGTAGAAAACCAAAGTTTTACTTTATAGTATAGCTGTTACCTTGGACTGAAGTCATGGGCATTGTCTGGGACGCTCATTCTGACGGCTGAGGAAGTCCTCTTTAAGACATTTAGGGGATTGGTTGATAAAATGACTTCCTGTTAAACATAAGACCACACGATTTATTCTGCTTTTGTTCCAGCAGTCTTAAAATGATCATAACGCCATGAAAAAGGGTACAGAAAAAAAAATGAAACCCTGAGACGCAGATTACTTTAAAGTGTGTTAAATCTAAAGCATTTAAGCATTAAAAGCATATGTTACGCATATTAAAACCAACGTTATAAGTCAGGCAACTTGTAAATTTATGTTGCAACAGTTGAAAGAGGAGCACGCTTTTTAAGAAACTTGTTCTTGAATAAAACGAAAGAACGGAGCAGAGCAGATGCTTATGGTTTGAGCTGGGAGTCGCAGCATATTAGAGAAGCAAATAGTCAATTAAAAAGATAATTACCGTACATTTGGCAAGCCTAGTGCTGAAAATGAAAAATGCAGAGGTGGGTGTGTGGTTCCTGAGTGGACAAACGGCATCTAAACTAAATCACTTATTGGCAGTGCATGCAGGCATTTTTCATAATAAAATGTTAAGAACCTTAATGTCATACTGAACCTAAATGCAACCTGAGACGCTCTCAGTCAATACAGATGTGATCATAAAAGATGTAAAGAGGAATCAAATACTGGTTTAAAAGGAGGTAATGAAGACTGATATTTAAGGCCTGTTTCTATTTACAGATTATATCAAGAACATGAAAAGTCATTCAGTTTGAAAAGACAACACTGACACCTAGTGGAGTAAACCCCTTGCAATGTAAAACCAAAGAATGGAAAATTATAGACCAAATTTTTAAACAAAGACCAAAAGCACACAAACAAAACAGTTTTCAAAACCTTTCTTGGAAATCATGTAGCAGCATTTTATTAAAAAAAAAAAATCTTACATTTTGATGTAGAGAAAATAAACTGCAGGTTGTGATAAAAAATAAAAAGTTAAATACAATCAAAGTTGTAGCTTTTAAAGCCTGGCTGGTTCTTGTGTCCTTTCAGGTAGCCAAGCTACTGGTTCTGGAAAAAAAAATTAAAAAACGCAACAAGAGGACAAAAAAAAAAAAAAAAAAAGTGTATATAATTTCTTGCACACAAACATTTCCCATCATGCAACACCCACTTCATAGCAGCACATAGAGCCAAATCTGACCCTATAAATGGTTATTGGGCACATGAGACCGTTAATAGATTACAAAATTACAATTATTAAAACACTCACACACAAACCCACAGTCAAGTACAAAAAAGTAAAATGTTCACTCCGTTAGCCCTCTGCATAGAAAACAAGGACAACCACTAAACAAGGTCTGCTTGGTAATTAATGCAAACATCTGAGTGCTATGCAGTTAAAAAATAAACTAAATATAAAAACGTGTCTTGGGCTTCGTCAGCCGTTTGTTTGCAGAACACAGGGTTGAGCACCATTTTCAGAAGGGACGGGACAAAACCCTTTTTAACCCTCAGTGGTTGCCAAGCTTAACCAAAGTCAGTGTTAGCTTCTTCTAGAAAGACACTGAAAAGTATCACGAGACAGGAAATCAGCATCGCTTCGAAAAAAGGGAGAAATGTGTTTTCCATATTTTCCTCACCAGAAATTCTTACTATGCACCGCAGAGGCAAACTTTCCTTTTTTCCATTTACAGTTATAAGTTGCAAATCTGCCTGGGATTTGTCTCCGTTTACTCTGGCAGATGGGGCTGGGGGGATGGCAGACACATCCTCGGTGCAATTTTCAGAACTGCAGCTTCCACTTGAACCAAGTCTTCAGTTTTCTCACTGCTCCGAGGAGGAGTCAGGACGCTGGAGGGAACAGGACAGTTGTTGTGACGCTCCAAGTCCACATCTTGGTAAGAGTAGGCCTTATCCTACACACAGACAAACAAACTGAACCATCAGCTGAAAGTTGAATCAGCTTTTTAGCACAAATAACAGGTATTCAAAGTAGGGATGGGCAATAATATTCAAACAGCTCTTAAATGTATCAAATTTAAGTAGTTTAGGTCAGGGGTTCTCAAACTTTTTGGGTTCAGGGACCCCCAATATTTAATAAATACAGTAGTCCCTCATTTATCGTGGGGGATCCGTACCCTGAAGCCCCGCTAAGAGCACAGAATGTCATGAAATCAGCTCTCTGCCTCTGGCTATCTTGGCCACGCCCACTTCTCCGTTCTGCACAGTGATCAGCTGATCAGCTGCAGGAGGAAGCTTCTCCCACAGCTGTGGGCTGCACACAGGTGCTAAATAATTTTAAATATTTTAAATAAAAAAAACTATGCCGATCATGCAACTCATACCATACCAATTTATTTATAGAGCACTTAAAACAGCGACAAAGCCAACCAAAGTTCTGTACAGACAGATCAACAGACAACACACAAAGCAAAATACAAAATGAGGTAAATCAGAATATAGACATAAAAACGATGCAGATAATGACGACTAACCAGTGTGGAGCATACAGGATCAAAACACAGATCCTCTGGTGTTGAAAGCTACTGAATAGTAGTGAGATTTTAAACGGGACTTGAAAACCGAGAGGGAGGGGGCCTGTCTGACAAGCAGAGGTAACTCGTTCCAAAGTCTTGGTCCTGCTACAGAGAAGGCCCTGTCACCTCTGCGCTTAAGACAAGTTCCTGGAACTGTGAGGAGCAACTGGTCCGCTGACCTCAGGGAACGTGGAGGGACATACGGTTGTAGCAGATCAGAGAGATGGGGGGTGCGAAACTGTGTAGACAAACAGGAGTATTTTGAACTGGATTCTAAGGTGAACCGGTAACCAGTGCAGTGAGGCCAAAACTGGTGTAATATGCTCTCTTTTGCCTGTACTGATTAAAAATCGGGCTGGTTTAGGTGACTCAATATGAAAAGATTCTCTCTCCCCTCCCGGCTCCCAGTAACACAAGGTGGTGGTGCTGCACCATGTTTGCCTAAGTGCTTCTAAATTGTAATAATCAGCACGACAGCATGGATATAAAAACATGGATATAAAAACATGGATATAAAAACTCGGTCGTGTACTGAACGGGGCCCGATAAATGTCAGAGCATTTCAAAGCGTGCAAACCTCTCCTCTCCATTTATGTTGTGGATAAACGGGAAAGGAAAGTCTTCGAGCTCCTGCAGGTCATCTGAACTATCACTTCTTGCTTTGTTTTGATGTGGAGTACTTTACCAACTTCCTCCACTCCTTTTCTGCTATAGCAATTAACCAAAGCAAATAATTTAAAAAAGTGCACTCTTGTAGGAGAGTGGTGTTCTCCTGTGACGAAGTATTACTTGTCTGGTTCTCCTGATACAAACCCATCAGTCCACACGGATCTACTGGACGGTGAAAAATGAATAAATGGCCCCAACTAGAAAAATCAGGTAAAATAATATAAAAGCAGAACTTATAAATAAAACTGCAAGTCTTCATCCAAACTATGTAGACATGGTTATTATTTTTATACAAAGTTAGAAATACTTTGTATAACTTAAGTGAATGTTTTAGTTTCTGGGAAAGAAGAAGAAAATACATATCATAAAAAGGTTGACAACATTAGCCTTTGTTTTAAACATAATGAATCATTAATTCACGCAAGCATTTTCCTCTAGATATGTTTTAATATCTTAATATTAATCAAGTTATAATGTTTCAGTTAGAACCAGTTTATGGTTTTTAGATTTGTCAGAAAGAGTTTGTTGTTTTGACGCTTTTGTTCATAATCTACAAACGTGCTGTGAAGAGAACAAGCAGTTGTTGCTGTTTTTTGTTTCTGTGCGTAATAACTGAATAATTGCAGGTGATTTTCAGATTTTTACTTGAATAGTCCTTCCCCGTTTGAAAGAAACTTTTTTAACATTTACCATTAACCCCCCCAGTTTAAACATTCTCCCAGCTCCGTGTACTTTTAAAGACTGAATTTTAAATAAAGTGAATTTGACAAACACTCGTTTCTTTGTAGTTCTTCTCAGAAAAACTCACCAGCCATGTAAGGTAGGGGGCGTGGCTCTGGATGTTGTGCACGTCTTCAGCTGCGATCCCCACAAACGTTTTCATACACGACCCACCGACTTCTCGCAACGCCATGGCAAACGGCACCATCCACCGCACACACTCCTCCACCTCGACCCTCTTCAAGGCTGCAAAGAGGCGGAGGATGAAGTGACGATTTATAGTAAAGCATCACATAAGGAGGAACAGCTCTACCTGGGATTACGTAAGGGATTATTTTTATTCATCAAGGCGTGTTGATACAAACCCTAAGCTCTGGTTGTTGTCACATAAAGACATTTAAAAAAAAGTAATTACAGTCAGTTTTAAGACATTTAGTTCTGCCTTGAGATTATCTACTTTTAAATGTGGCTTAGTGGTTAGCGTTGTTGCCTCACAGCAAGAAGGTCCTGGGTTCAATCCCTGGTTTGGACCTGGGGTCTTTCTGTGTGGAGTTTGCATGTTCTCCCCAAGTACTTGTTTCTAATATGTTTATTGCTGCTGCACTATGTGGCTGTATCATGTTGGTCACTGCCTTACCATCATGATTCAATTAAGCTCAATGTTACTCACGACCTGTGTAGTTTATGTTACTTAAGTGCAATATACATCATGTGCATTTAAGCTTATACTACCACCTGTGAAATACTTATTTATACTAATTCATCCTAGTTGCACCGTTATATTCTACCATGTTGTTTATTATATTTCTTTTGGACCTTGCAAGTATTATATTTCATTTTCACTTTCTGGTACTTTATTTTGTACACTTGATGCATGCTTTAGTATTTCTTGCTCGTCGGTTTTCTTTTTTGTTTTTAGAGTCTAAATAGTTCTTCTCATCCTGAACTTTTCATTTGTTTACCTTGTGATAACCTGCACATGACAAATAAACAACATTCTTCCCAGTCTAAAAACATGAACGTTAGGCTGCCTTAAGGCCCAGGCCTCCGTTACAAGAGGTCTGTGATCTCAGTGAGGTCTGCCTGGTTAAATAAAAGGTTAATAAATACTGCACAGTTCTCTGGTGGAACTACTGGAAACTATGAATCCAGTCATTTTAAATCTTGCTTTCTTTTGGGGTTTTGTTTTTACAAACAAAGTATGTTTCACAGGAACAGCTCGTGTACTCCTGCTCTCAAAATTATGAGATGAGTCGATACTTTCATGTATTTCACATTTGCATATTTTCTGTAAGTGACAATTTTGTGCAACACTGGTTGTTTTTGTGCGTTTAATATGTTGTGGACTATTGTAGGTATACCACTAAGCTCACAAGCAGATTAAGAGTTAAATTTCTTGTTACCATGATAATCTGGTTACGCTCAAATAAATCCCGATACTGAAAACTCTTGACTTTCAGCTCAACACAGCTGGCTCAACAAGAAGTCTTGCTTTGTATTAGACCCCTCAAATCACCCAGACAAAATCCTCGTTGTGTAAGCTTTGAAATAAACCTGTATTTGATTAGTAAATGAATTTCAATACTCTGGTTAAAATCATCCAAAAAAACAAAAAACAAAGACTGAATGTGTTTTACCCGAGACATTTTCCACCAGCTCCAAAGAGGAAAAGTGAAATAACGCCGAAGCGGCAAGAATGCCATTTGAGAACTCAAGGCACCTCACATCCAGCATACACAGGTCCAGCAGCTGAAACAGAAACAAATCAGAGCATATGAAGACAAATAAGGGATATTTTCACAGGTAACCATTTTTAACACTTGGGCAATATATCCACAAACTCTTCAATTTACTCAGTTTTGCTCATGTTCATCTTGAATATGTTTCTTTTGGAGTGGTTCATAAAATGTTTAAATCTTCGGAGTCTGACTAAAACCTACAGAATCAGACGGTTTCTATACCATACCAATTACCATACCAATTTATTTATAAAGCACTTTAAACAGTGACAAAGCACACCAAAGTGCTGTACAGGGACAAACAGAACAAGCACATAGCAACAGATTACATAACAGGACACCAAAAAGTAGAAACCAACAAAAACAATAATGGATAACAACAACAACTGCCACATGACCAACACAGTGTGATGCACACAGACTCAGCACAGATCACACAGTGCTGAAAGCCAGGGAATAAAAGTGTGTTTTTAAGCAAGATTTAAAAACTGTGAGGGAGGGGGCCTGTCTAACGAGCAGAGGTAACTCATTCCAAAGTCTTGGTCCTGCTACAGAGAAGGCCCTGTCACCTCTGCGCTTGAGACTGGTTCCTGGGACTGTTAGGAGCAACTGGTCTGCTGATCTGAGAGAACATGGTGGGAGATACGGCTGGAGCAGATCAGTAAGATAGGAGGGGGCAGAGCTGTTTAGTGATTTATAGACATACAAGAGTATTTTGAATTTGATTCGAAGGTGAACCGAAAGCCAGTGTAGGGAGGCCAAAACAGGTGTAATGTGCTCTCTTTTGCTTGTGCTGGTCAAAAACCGGGCTGCTGCATTTTGGACCAGTTGGAGTCTAGCTATGGAGGTCTGACTGATACCAAAGAGGAGAGAGTTGCAATAGTCGAGCCTGGATGTAATGAATGCATGAATTACTGTCTCCAGGTTATTTTTGGACAATATGGGCTTCAGCTTAGACAGTCGCCTCAGCTGGAAAAAGCAGGATTTAACAATCATATTTACATGATTGTTGAGTTTCAGAGAAGGGTCAAGTATCACTCCTAGATTAGTGACTCTTTGTTTCACTAACGGTGACAGAACGGATAGGTCGATGCAGTGGTTGGTGATTGTGTCACTGGGAGGAAAGAGCATAACTTCAGATTTCTTCTCGTTGAAACTCAAGAAATTTAAAGGCGTCCAATCTCTGATGTCAGCCAGGCAGTCCAGTAACGGTTGAATAGAGCGAGTACCGTTGAGTCTGAGGGGGAAGTAGATTTGGCAATCGTCGGCGTAGAAATGAAAATGATGATTTTCAAATGATTTCTGGTATCTGAGGTACACTCCAACTCCACACTAAAAGTTTCATGACACGCAATTAGAAATTTAGTGTTTCACGTAAACATCACCTGTCCGTTTGGACTGCGACATCTGACAGATAACAAACGTGCACGCTGAACCTCACGCTGCTAGCTGCTGCTCAGAGACTTGACTGACCGACCTGCCTATAAATAATGGGTGTGAACAAAATAAGGACACACACAGATCGTAAGATGAAGTCATCTGAATACGAGACGACTTATTCCACCAACACAAATAAGTAGCAGGTGTGGGTGCTTCACCTTTTTCACCCACATTTTGATGTTGTCGGTCCGAGAGTTGAGCCGGGAGTTGACCGGCGACCCTCTGATCACTGGTCCACCCTCTCTAACCTCTGCGCCACCCCCCCCCCAGCTAGTTTGAACTAACTATTGTGTTTGCAACACTTCAGAAGAACTCTTGTAGATACAAAGTATCAGTGATGTCAAATATTTTACTCTTTTTAAAGAAATTATTTTATAAATAGTTCGTTGTTGCTTCTTTCAAGACCTCCCCATCTGAAAATTGCTCATGAAAAACATCTGCCTGCTCAAATCTGCCTTTATCTCTGACATTCTTCTGCCTGTTGTGAGCCATCGGGGGGGCGGAGAGTTAGCATTGAAGCTAACATGTTAGCTGGTGAAGAGTCACTCCATGGTGTTTTGCTGTCGCCACAGCCCACAAATGAGAGACACTTGTCTTTCACAACTATAGAAACACCTCTTCCTCCCAGTCACCGGGAAAAATATGTTTTCTTATGTTTTTTGTCATTTTGCCCTCTGGGAGGTAAAGCTAGCTTGTAGCTGCACCGCTCGCAGCAATAGCAGTGCGTCTTCGCATGATTCTGAACTTTGACCCCAGACAAGGTTGGTAAGCTGCAAGTTTTCATTAATTATTTTCATTTCAAATCTACATCCTTGCAAATGTTAAAAGTTTAAATACACAATGATTTTTTTGGGCGGTGCTCCTTAATGATGAGTGCCATTTGTAGAACATGCTCAGTGGGTGATTCAGAAGGTCCCTGCTGGCGACCAGGTGCCCGCAGGGAACGTGTTGCTGACCCCCCCGCTCCAGATTATCTTGCAACTTTCGCAGGGTTCTCATTTTCCTAGAACGAGTTGCAAAGGCAAGCGGTCCTGTTGATTCAGTTTTGAACATGCTCAAATACGTTGCAGGGCCACTTGATTCTTGAAATACTCAGAATTTTCATGGGTGTCTCCAAAACACCTCAGACCAACTGGACTTTTGTTGTGGAGGGTTCAAACTTATCTCAAGAGGACTACAGATGGATCCTGACTCCTGCCTGGGAGATCTCCTCTGACAAAAAATTAATTGATCACAGGCAAACGTGCAGGTCTAAAAGCCAGATAATCGAGAAACTCGTCTAAATCTGACTTTTATTTAAAAAGTGTACTCACGGGTGGATTCATATTGTGAGATGTGACAAAATGTGTTCATTTTGTTGTAACAAGAGCTTGTGCTATGCACAAGATCCAGGCAGAAATTTTTCCTCAGGCGAATGCATCGATTATTGTGACAGGTCAAAACTTGGCTGTAGGTGTTTTTATGCAGAAATGCAGGTGAACAGCAACATACTGCTGAGGAGCAGCTGGCAGAGGCCAGTTAGAAAATACACTCACCTTTACAACCGTTTCAGCAAAACTTAAGATAGTCAAACAGCAAAAAACTCATGGAAGGGGATAGCACAATTATTGTGCAGAGGAGACAACAGAGACACGATACCATAATCCCTCCAGAGAACGCCTTGGCCAGGCAGCGTAGGGACATGCTCCCTACCATCTGTTGCAAACAGTGGCAGTCCCTTCATGACAAATTTGTAAATGCCAAACCATGTAGACTGTATAATAAAAATGTCTGGTTAAGGGAAGCAAAAATGAGTACAGGGACAGTACAGTGGAGGGGCTTCTCTGGAGTTCTGCACTGCAGTTTATTGTTGAGCATAAAATGTCCTCGCTGAAAAAAATGTATTAAAGAGGCTGCCAAAGTGGATACTAAACAAGCAGAGTGTGATGTGGGCGGAGGTGGACAACAAAATAATGTGCGTGCCCAAGAACGCTGCTTTGTAAACCATCAACACAGGAATACACTATGACTCTCCAGTTTAAGCTTCTCTGCACTGGCTTACTCTTACTTCTAAACTACAAATCCCTCAACAACCTAGCTCCATCTTGTATTACAAATCTTATTGTTCCATATTTTCCTAATAGAGCACTTCGCTTTCAGACTGCAGGCTTACTTGTGGTTCCTAAAGTTTCCAAAAGCAGAATGGGAGGAAGATCTTTCAGTTATCAGGCTCCTCTCTTGTGGAACCAACTTCCAGTTTCTGTATGTAAGGCTGACACATTGTTCAGTTTTAAGACTGGGATTAAGACTTTCCTTTTTGATAAATCCTATAATTGGGATTATCTTGTTATGCTGCGATAAACTTAGACTACTGGAGGACAAATTGGGCTAATTTCTTAAAATTAATTGTTACAATTTAATAGTTTTCATTTAATACTATTTCTATCTTAACATGTGATTCTCGACCTGCCATTGTGTATCTGTTCCTCCTTCCTGTTCCTCTCAAACCCAGCTGGTCGAAGCAGATGACCACTTGTCCTGAGTCTGGTTCTGCTAAAGGTTTCTTCCTCATGAGGGAGTTTTTTTCTTTCCACTGTCGCCTTCATGTTTGCTCAAGATGAGAGTCTGTGATGGAGTTTAATTCAAAACAGTCTGCTCCTCAGATAAATAATGTTATTAACTTACTATGAATGTTTCTGTTAACTCATTATTTTTATAGATGAATGTTTCTGTTCAGTGCCCTGAGAGGACTTCTGTTGTGACTTAGCGCTTTATAAAATACACTGAATTTAATTGACTTTCAAAAAATGCTGACTCAAAACGCAGGCTCACTGGTTGGTTGCAAACACTCGAGTTGAGCGACGCTGAAACTGAACATCCATCTTTTTTCTTGCAATTTTAAGTCACCAACCAGTTTCCCCAACAGTCACAGTGAGATACCACCTTAACTAAGTCAATAAGAAAAGTTGAGAAATTGGTCAAAACATTTGAGACATTTACTAACAAACACTTTTTAACTTCAGCCCACTGTTGGAACTTCCAAGCGTTTTTACTTTGTTGTGACTAACTGCTGTTTTAAATCACATCACAGCTGTTTAACAGCTGCTAGTACCGATCTTCTTAACTTACAATTCAACTGCAAACATATCTGTGACCATGACACCGAAAACCAACATTTTCATGTTGCAGTGCTCATTCGTTTTTATAGCTGGACTGTTACTTTGAGTTTGGACACACAAACACACCTCTGCAATCTGTGTGAAGGTCTCCTGGGGGTATCTGGGTATGAGCAGCTCCTCTGTGTCTTTTAGGTAGGCCACCTGCATGTAAACGTTGAGCCATGAGATAGGAGTCTGTGGGCTGAGGCTCCAGTTCAGCTCCTAGGGTTGAACAGTAAAAGACATGTTGGAAATGCATAATCAAAAATGAAAAGCAGACCTTGAATTACATTTGTTCAATGGTTTCAGTGCTCCAACGACTGAGAAGGTACCTAAACAAAATTTTCAGGCGACGGGGAAAATTTAAAAAGCGTACTTTGTTCACAACTAAGTTACAACTCAATTCAGTTTTACTGCGAGGGCCAAATATATGCAGCTGTAAATACTATGAAGAGCTACGAAGCACTTCCTAAATGCAGTTATCCTGCGTCCTATTACTGAGGATAAGAGTACAAAGTAAGTATAAGTGCTGTGTGTTGTCATCGTTGTACAAAATTAGTTCTCTGCATTTAACCATCACACCTGAGATACACGCAGGTGGAGCAGTGGGCAGCCATGTAAGCTGCTCGGGGAGCAGTTGGGGATTAGATGTTTTCCTCACACACCATGACATGTGGGCATGGCGGAGAGTTGAACCGTGACTTTCTGGTCCCAAGTCGGCTGCCCTACCTAACAAATCTAGGCCCCCTCAGGACTGCAAAGCTAAAGGCAAATCTTAACACAGACTAGAAACTAAGTGGTTTGCTGCTATTCTGCCAGCTCATACCGTTTGTACTGTTTGACAAGCTCATAACGACTTGTTCACTTCCAAATTTAGGTTAGGTTTATTTGTCACATGCAGGTCAACACAAGGTCAGCAATGCAATGAAATGCTCGGGACGAGAAGAACCATATCGACTTGCCAAAAAAAAAAAAAAAACAATAAGAAATACCAAAGCATACAACAAAAATACAAAAACAGTTGCCAAAAGTGAAAAAGAAATACTTCTACAGCAGCATGGTCCTATTAGCCAAGTGGTTCTGTTAACGGTGTGGTCAATTCTCAAACAACTCCAATCTTTAAGATTTCATAGCAGCTCATGCATACATTATTTAAACTTGCACATTGTCCTCAATTTAGCATTACATTACATCTGGGCAAAATTATTGTGTGCTTTCTGCAGGAAGTGTCCTATGCTGCAGTGGAAGTGCTACAGATCTCCACCGATGCTATTTGTGCATGCAAATGATCATAAAAATACATGTAAATAATTGTAACAAAAAATTGATGGCAATTTAAAGTTTTACGGAAATAGAATTTGTATGAAGCAATAAGACTGAAGTTGTTCTGTAATTCACAACTGTTAGACTGTCAGTCCTGTCAGAGTGAAAGTACTTCTTCAAACCGAGATGACTCAAAGATTATATTGTTCATAGTATTTAAAGAAAACCTACTTCAAAATAGATGAACATGTTTACACAGTCCTGTGAAAGAGTATTTCCGTGGTATCATCTTTAAATGTGTTAATATTACACATTTCTGTGGACCTTTTTTTGCCTGTGAACAACAGCAAATGCTATATTGGTCTGATTTTACCATTTTATTCTCATGCCCATAACTCAATACTGGAGCTTTCTTGACAATAACAGTTTGTGGTGTTTCTTCATCCGACTGAAGCTGCATCCATGACTTGAGTTTGAATGTTTGCAAACAACAACTATCCATGTGGTACAAGATCAAACTAGTAGAATTTATGAGCTTTAGTCGAGACCAAACGGAGATGACAGACAAAAAGATAAAAGACTGGGCTTCTGTTAAGCTGCTGGTTCCTGCATTTGAAAAAGACCGGCTGAGGAAAGAACCCCCCCAAAACTGTTGGTCCAGTAAATGCATACCTAATGACTTGTCATGCCTTAGCAGGTCTGCTAACATTTAAAATGATGGTTTAGCTGTCATGTTTTCCCATGAGAGATGTGGCTGTAAAAGTTGTGGAATAGCTGTCCACACTTTTCTAGAACAAATATTTTTGCATCCACTGTAAACTGATAAATGCCTATAAATACTTAATAGTAACCTTTTCAATTGAAGTAAAAGGCTTGTGTTAATAAATTGTACCCATTTTGTTCTCCATCCAATATGAAAGAAGCTTAGCACATGCATCTACATTGTGTCATGGATGAATGAGCGTTCTTCACCTTCATAACAATGAGCTCCATGCTGAGAATCTCATCCTCGGAGCACGTTTCATCTGTAACGTAGGCAAACTGGTGGATCTTTGGAGGATACATCTCCTACAAGAAGTGAAAGTACAAAAGATGAGCAGGCATCAACAAACACCACCAACATGATGGGAAATACAGTATGCAATCAGAAATGCAGTTCACAACTCACCTCTACTTTTGCAGCGATGAAGAGACACGTAATGCCAATGAGTTGCAACGTTGATTTGAAGACATTTCTTTGTGTGGCCATGAAGCGATCAAAATAATCCTGTGCAAGGTGATACGTCTCCCGGTGTAGTTTGTACACTTCACTTACCTAAAACATCCGATGAAAAGATGTTAAAAAAAGGAAGTTTAGAGTCATACGGTGCTCCTAAAGACAGGCCTCAAACACATTCAATACGTGTCAAGTTACTAAAAAACAGCCTCATCACTGCTCATAGCAGCTATTAATATTTTGTAATGAAGATGAGCTGAAGGCTTGTGTTGATGGGGTTTTTACTGAGTCGGATTGGCTGAACCAAACGGGTTTCTTTTCAAAAGATACATCTGCTTGTAGCAATTTATTTACCTTCTGTACGCCAATGTTCAAAACTCTGAAACCCTTACATGACTTGTTTACAACGTTGGGGAAAAATACTCCACAGTGAGGCCCAATTTTGAGTCGTCTCCAGAGGAAACTGAAAGTAAATAAAATGTTAAAAGTACACCGTTTTAAGTGTTTTAGCCAAAGATGGAGATAAATAAAAATGGTGTCTGAAATTTAGAATGGGAAGCACGGTGGCGCAGCTGTTAGAGCTGCTGCCTCTCAGCGAGCAGGCTGCCCTGGTTCAAATAAGCCATCATTTCTAAGCCGAACCCGGAGCCTGGCACATAATAATGTGCGGGTCGGGTCAGTGTCAAGCTTTTGATTGCGTCAGCGGATGCGTGCGGCTGACGATCCAATCATATGGCAACATGGCTTGCCATACAACCACCAGCCGCACGCGGCCATTTGACCGCGCGCTGAAAGTAAAGAAAAACATTCAAACGAATGAGACATCTTTGTTCTTTCCTTTAGAAGCTGGTGATGTAATTTAAAAAAGATTCAGCTGCACTCAGCGGACGCGGGCGGCCAACGACCCAAACAGGTGAGATCCCAAAATATCTGACATGTCAGAGCATGGTCCATGTCTGAATAATGCAGCATGCAGGAAGAAGCAGGGATTTAATGCGCTTTGACAGCCATGAAAGGACAAACACCCCCTCAGCTCCGATCTTCTGCCCCCTTTTAAAGAGCTGCGCACGTCTGCCGACCGTTAACTATATAAGCAGTCAAAGCTTAATTAAAAATGTTGGGGGGGGGGGGGGGGTCGGATCTGTAATTACTGTTAATTCGTCGG